CTGGAAACAGGAGCCAGAGGAACCCAGCTACTCTGACACGGGATATAGGTGTCTGACATCTTCACTGCTGGGCTAAATGCCAAGCACCAGGTAGAGTTTCTCAACCAAAGCTCAAAGAACAACTGATGCCAAAGGGCAAAATCACAGAGAGTGCTGAACTCTGCCAGCTATTACAGTGACTGCAAACTGAGAGGCGGAAGATAGAAATGCACGAACGTGCTGTGCACATGGTCCCCTGCTCACTCCTTGTCTGTCGAATGCATCCTTGGCGTCTAGTGCAGAAACAGAAGATGATAGGACTTTGATCAGTCCTAGATAAATGTCGGTGCTTCTAGAAAAACAGGAGCTGTGGCATGGTTAGAGCACCTGGTGAACTGCGTGTGAATCTCACTTCTGGACAAATTTAGCAGCCTGGACACCCATGTTTCTTCCTTTAATCAACAAACATGGAAGTATCTCACCCTGACCCAGGAACTATCCTAAGTGCTGAATGCTGAGATGCATACCAATCCATTTCCACCCTCGTGCAGCTCCAATTTCAGGAAAAATCTGGTTGTACTGACAACAGAGACACACCCATTAAAACTTGCAGGTTGGTGATAATGTTGTCTTCCACCCCACGTGTGGGACCTAGAACTCTGGCTCTCCCCTTGCCGACACTCTGTTTTGCGTGCTCCTCGATAACTTCATTTGTACACTGTTCAGTTAACTCTTGTCAGGACTTCTATGTTAACACACTTTCTGGACTCCTTAGCAACCATCTGGCAGCCTGCTTCTGTTCATCTCCTCCCAGATTCTCCATCTGCCTGCACATCCACATGTCTTGCTGTCCAACTCCGACCTCATTCTCTCTGAGAGAGTGGACAGCATCTGGGCTCTGAGGTCCATGCTCCCCAAACCAAGTGCCCATTGAGAAAAGGGTCTGGAATTGGGTACTCTGGAAAAGGTTAAGGCTAAGGTTAATGGTCAGGGTGCTCAGAATTGTTCCCTGAGCACCCTCCCTGGACAATGCTGGAAAAACAGAAAATGTTTGCTTGCTGCTTTTGCTTCAGAAGCTCCAGACTCCACCCTTGTCCTCCTTGACAATTGATTCCATTGTAGCTTTCTTCCCTTTTCAGTCATGCTTTGTACGGGGAGCTCCTGAGTTTAGCCATCTGTTCTTGATTCAGCATTGTGGACTGAGGAGTCTGCAGGGAACCAGCATAAGCCGTCAGTGTGAGCAGGCTGACTACTGAAAGCAAGGATGATTTCTCCCCCGGTGTTGTCCCAATCTGGTTGCCCAGTCACACAGATGACAACTGAGGGAAGCATTTTTTTCTCTCTGTCTTTGGTCCTTTCTCTATCATAACCATGAGGATGCTAATGTACTGTGGTGACCAAGAAGCCAGGAATAGCTCCAAACATCCACTGATGCAGAGGCCAACCTCAAACAAGAAAACTTTATCTAGCCCCAAAGGACAGTAGCACTGAGGTTGAAAAGCCTGAGTTAAAACCAAGAGGCTGAGGAAGATTGCACAGCTGCTTCTCACTGGGACAGAGGTTTACCTCCATTCTCTGAAATCATCGCTCACACCTCTAGTGATCGGCTGAGCTGAATGACTGTGTTTCTGCTTGTGGCATTTACACAGGCCCATCTAAAAGTTCAAAGAGCTTTCTTGTTAAAAAAAAAAAAGACCGCTAGCCAGTTGTCCTTAACCACTTGTGACTATGGGACCTGGCTGGCTCCCGTGACTTGTTAAACGTTCTTGATCGTGCACACATAAAGGCGGTACTTTGGCTGGGAGTGTTGGCCAGCATCTGTGATGTTGGCAGTGTCAACAGAGGAAAATATCAAGTGGAAAAGCAGAAGTGAGAACAACAAAAAAAAAGTCACTTGTGATGCCTATGTAATTTTGTGATTAAGAGAAAACACAAATGAGCTACAACACTACTTTGAATGTGACACATTCCAGGGGCAGGGAATTGTCTCTTGCCAGGAGACACTTGGATGACTGTAGCTTCATTTGCAGGCCCTATGAAATGACCAGCTTCAAAAAACTCAGCGTGCTACAGACCTCTTGAATCTTCAGTCCCTCCTATGGTTGCATTGGCAGGTCCATACCCAGTAAATCCATAAACTTTGTATGACTGACTGGATAACTATTCCCCATTCCTAGTTGAGGGATTTCCTTTCCTCTATTTTTCACACCCATAATCAGTAGCTACAGGGAGTATGAAAAAAAAAAACATAGAAACTCAAGATGGAAATGGGGAACTACAGTGTCAAATTGCAGAAATGTGGGGTTAGGCCATAGGGTTGAGGATAAAGATGGAGTTAAGAATCTTTTCTGGGTATTTGCCCCCTCAAAAAAAAAATCTTAAAAAATGACATTCTGAGTTGTGGTGTTCACATTCTCTTCTTTTCCCACATAACAGCCTTTAAGGGCCATGCTGAACACAGGCTGCAATGCTGCTTTCAGCTCCCAGAGACAACCATGTCAGGTTCCGCGTTCAAAAGCGATTAGTTACATCACCGGAACTGGAGAAAAAAGTTTATACTGGCAGGATAAGGCAATGGATGGCACATGAAACAATGAGATACAGATCTGTTACTCTGGGGCAACTGCCAACTTGCCAAGCAGTCGTGTCCTTCAGAGGGCATCTGACTGCTAGAAACACAACGGCACATGAGGAATGGAAGGCAGTACAAGTAACACCATAGGTGTCTGCGCAAGATGTTCTGAAATTCACAGGTAAATGCTCTCATTTTCAGGTGGGGAAAGCTGGCTCAGGAAAGTTGATCATCTTACCTAAAATGTAAGGAACAGAGGGTGGCCTTGGGATTCCCCAGACAGTCTAACCATGCTGTGCAGCCTCTGTGCAGGAAGGTAGTCAAAATAATGACATAATGACGGCCCACGCAAAGGGCAAATGGGAGGGCTGCACAGGTGATGGGGAGGCTTAATGGATGGAGAAAGAGAAGTGGAGGTAGGGAAGGAACCCTCGCAGACCAAGGGGCAAGAAGACTGCTGGTTGGCCTAGGTCCCATGCTGCCGTGGTCAACAATGCAAGCCTGCTGTTGGTGTGAGCTCTTCTTTAAAACTGGATGGGCGCAGTGACAGAAAGGGACACACACACATACACAAGGATCTTCCATCTGCTGATTCAACCTCCAAATGCCATCAACAATCAGAACTGGATAGGGGTGAAGACAAGATCCAGCAACTCCAGCTGGGTCACCCACATAAATGGCAGGGACCCAAGTATTTGGGCCGCCGTATGCTGCTTCCCCAGGCACATGAGCATGAAGTTGGATCAGAAATAGAGCAGCCAGGATTCTCACTGGCATGTTGATATGGGGAGTAGGCATCCCACACAGTGGCTTAACCTGAGGCACATGACCCCCACCCCATTAGGGTTTGGAGATGTTTTCTGGCCAGAAGATGTGGTGCACAATGAGAGATGTGGCATTAAGTGAATTCTGTAAGCTCTTTCCAAAATTTCCACAGACTCCCACTGCTGTTTTCTCAACCCACACACACAACAGACAAAATCATTATTTTTTTTTTTTTGCACACATACTTACCAAATCTCTATTTTGCACCAGATGCTGTCCCAGGCCATCTGACTATGGTGGTCCAGCAAAGACCTTTTCCATCTGGACACTGCTGGCTAGTGAAACAGCTTTTAAAAATAGGCAAGGATTGGTGCAGTGGCTTATCAGGCCAGCCATCTGCCTGCAGCACTGGTATCCCTATAGGTGCTGGTTTGTGTTCTGGCTGCTCCACTTCCATCCAGCTTCCAGTCACAGCCTGGGAAAGCAGTAAAGGATGGCTCATGAGCTTGGGCCCCTGCACCCATGTGGGACACCCAGAGGAAGCTCTTGACTTCAAATTGGCTTATTTGGGAAGTAAGCCAGGATCTCTGGTAAGCAGAGGGATCTCTCTCTCTCTGTAAATCTGCCTTTCAAATAAAAAATATTCTTTTTTAAAGAAAATACATTTGGTGATTTCCAGTGATGTTGCATGATATGAAGAAAAACGACAGTCATATGATTGATGTTGAATCGAGTCATCAGGAAGTCTCTTGACAGACAGAACTTTTGGCATGCAACCTCGAAGACAGCAGGCAAGGTGCTGAGGTCTCAGATGTCTTGACAAAGGGCACACCCTGCCCAAGTTCCCAGGCAGGATCCCATCAGACAGGTCTCAGGAACCCACAGAAGGCCACCATGCTGGTATCCTACCCAGCTTTGGGGAGCACAAAAAGGAGGTCGGCAGACTGAGCTTGCCTGTTGCAGACTGACACAGGCATTCATCTATCAGACATTCATTAAGCACCTACTGTGTGCAGGACATTACCGAGGAGTCAAGAAATGAAACTGAAACAGTCCCTAACACAAAGATTCTATCTCCTCAGAGAGGAATTTCACACTCTGGTTAGGATGAACGAACACCCCCCACCCCCCAAGAGAAGCCTGCCAAGAGGATAAGAGGTGAAGCTCTCCAGCCCCAATCACAAGACAGACATTTAAACAAGGACGACCAGTGCACACAGTGTGAAGCTGCGGGCTATAATAAGGTCAAGATCCTGCGGGGCGGGGTGGGGGGTGGGGAGGGCCTCTGCCTGCCCAGGGTGGAGAGGTCAGGCCTCCCCCAGGGGTTAGTCACCTACCCCACCTTTTCCCACCGGCTGAGCCTTCTCGGTCGTGGTGGGCGGGGCAGGGCCGCAGGAATCCCCCGTCCTAAATCTGTCCCATGCAGAAAACCCAGGCAGGGGAGCCCCGAACACTCAGGGCTCGGATTAGCACCTGATTCATTGAAGCAGTGAAGCCAGGCAGCTACTTAACTGCTGGTAATAGCCATCCCCCAGGTCGCCCCAGAGCACGGGGGACTGCATGCGCTTGGGGTTGGCGAGGGGGAGGGGCGCGGACCGCCATGCGCAGCCTCCGCGGGAACAGGCGGCGTCCGCGCCCACCCCGCTCCTCCTGCATTCTCCGAACACGGGTAGAGCCTGTATTCGGGGGTCCTGCCACACACGCCCTCGTCCCCCAATACCGCCGCACCCCAGGCGCCCTCACCGACGAGCCTAGGCCCGCAGGGAGGGCATCTCGGAATCCCAGGGTGCAGTCTGGCGGGCCTCGGCGCGCCCCGGGGGGCGGGGAACGGCCAAGGGAGACCACTTCCCGGCTAAGGTGCCGGAGGTGGTCCTGCCGGGGGCCTGCAGGTCCGTCCGCTCGTGGTGGCGTGTTGGGGACGGTCGTGGCGCCCATGGCAGGCCCCGGCGGCGCGCGGGCCTGTGCCGGTTGAGGCGGCGCTGGCGCAGTCCGCCGCGCCCCGCCCGCACGGCCCTCCTCCGGGTGTAGCATGTCCTCGGCGCGCCCGCCGCCGCGCCGCCCAGGGCGCTAGAGCTCGCGGCCGCCACCATGGGCAATGGGATGAACAAGGTAACGCGGGCTCCGAGGCGGCAGGGCGCTTGTCGGCGGGGGTCAGGGGCGGCCCGGGTGTGTGTGCGCGCGCGAGGGGCGCGGCTGTGGTGATTTTGGGGGGGAGGATGGGGTGGCGGCGAGTTCCCGCTCCTCACTTCATCTCACGCCACTCCGGCTTCCGGGAACAGCGCCTTGGCGGGCCACCCCCCCCCCCCCCAGCCCCGGACTGGGAGCCGGGGCCCTTTCTGAGCGTCTACACCCGCCGTGCCCAGCCCCGAGCGGCGGTGGCATGGGTTCTCTCCCCTCCCCTTGGCGCTCCAACTGAGGCTCTCGAAGCTTCGCCTCCCACAGCGTCTGTCAGCCAGCGTCCACGGATGTCTCTTCCGTCATTTCCTCTTTTTTTTTTTCTTTTTCTCTCTCTTTTTTTTTAATCTTGTACTTAGACAAGTAGACCGAGGGCTGAGAACTGAGTTGGCTTCACCTGAGTGACCTGGTGGCGTGACTTCAGGGACAACCTGTTGGGACGGGTCGGGGCTGGGAGGGGAAGTCGGCTTGCCCTGGTTTTCTAGAACATTGGATCCAGGCCCCACCACGCTGTTCTCCCATCCACAAAGTTGCTGGCTTGTTTGCAGCTAGGAGTTGCCCGGTGGTGTGTCTGTGTGGAGCGTAAGGTGAAATAATTGAGTTCTGTTCCCTGCGCTGGTTGTTCAGCTTCAGAGGAAGGAGAACTTAGACTTTGAAAAACCCTCAACACATTTGCAAATCAGTTAAGGTTCCTGGGTGAGTGAGCTCCCCCTGGCCTCCTGGCCCACCTCTTGCGCATGAACGTTTGGCCTCCATGTTTGGTGGGTATCCCCGTGTGCCTGCCTTCCTCCTTCCTTCCCCACTCCCTCTCTTCTCCCTGCCTCCTTCCAGCTCCCTGGAGCCTGCAGTGAATTTTCTCCATGGCTGGACTGTTGGAGTGGGTGTGTGTGTGGTGGGGGAAGAGGTGGGCAGGGAGGATAAAAGCTAGAGCAGGGAATGTGCTTTGGGGGTGGGGGTTGGGATCCTGAGTCCCTACCTGTCCTGTGTTGACCTTGGAGACCCAGTTGATGAGAAAGCTGTGTGTGTGTTTGGGGCCTGCATGCCTTTGACTGGTACACTGAGAGCATTTTGTTCAGTTTTGTGTTTTGTTTTTTGGCCAGTGGCCAAGTTTGGGAAGCACCCATTTCTCCCTTGGATAAGTGCTTGCATTACAGGTGGCGCCATTAGCACCAGATTCCATCAGCGCCATAAGCCTTCTGCATTTAAAAGTTGGAGTCAACTCCGAGGGCAGCTGTTTAGCACAGCGGTGAAGATGCTGCTTGGGTTGGAGTTTTGGCTCGATTCCTGATTCCAGCTTCCTGTTAAACCACACTTCGGGCAGGGGGGCTACAGCAATAGTGGCTCAAGTTACTTAGATCCCTGCCTCCCATGTGGGAGAGCCAGATTGAATTCTGAGCTCTTGTTTTTGTCTGTCCCCGTCCCACTCGCTGCAGGCCTTTAGGGAGTGAGCCAGCAAGTAGATGCTTGTCTCTGTCTTTTAAATAAAATGGATGATAAAGAAAAAATAAAAGTAGAACAGACGACAGCAGGGATGTCTGTCACATGTCCTGGGTTCCACCTGCCTTTCCGTGGACTGAGATCACACTTCCGCTTTCCTTGGACTGCTTCTAGTTTCTCACACCTGAGTTGTTCACCCTGCATCTCTTTCTGCATTTAATTGGTAGTGTTGTATATAATCATTTAAAGGCTATTCAGGAATTCGAATGACTGCCTTGAGGGATCAAATTCTTCTGACACTTCTCAGCAGAAGAAGTACGGTCCTACCACAAGTTTGGCCTTTTCCATGTGGGAAGTAGGTTTCTTGGCTGTTTTGCTGTCCTGATTTGTCCTGTATGTAGAGAAGTGATATCCGGCGTAAAAATGGGGCAGTGTTGTGTGTAGGAGTTAGGAACTGTCCGTTCAGCTCATGGTTATTGCGCACTTACTTTGAGCAGGGTGTGGAGACAGTGGTCACTGACACAGGCCAGCACTTGTATCGCAGAAATGCAGCAGAAACTCTATACCTCATTAAAAATCTTTTGGTAGACATTACAGAGATATAAAGTAGCAGGTGACATGCACTTGATGATGTAAAAAAGTAAAAGAGTATCATTTTAACCTGTAACCAAAGTGTTACATCATGGAGTATTTCACAATTTTTTTTTAAACCAAGTCTTTAAAATCTCTTGTATGTGTTTGAACTCACACCCCATCTCACTTGCAACTAGCCACTGGGGCTAGTGGCACTGTAGTGCATGACGCAGGTTGTTGCATGGCAATTAAAGTGGGGTGGAGGCTAGGCAAATAAACACTGGGGCTCCTCAGGATGCAACAGGCAGAGGTGCAAAGGCAGAGTCGAGGAAGGCAGCCTTGGAGTAGCACTTGAGCCTGACATAGCGGTCTGCTGGCATCCACATGTTTAACCAGAGACACATCACAAGATCACAATAGTGGTGGAGTAGCTGGAAGCTGGTAACAACAAGCCTTATCTAGGATTTTCCATGTAGTTACTTGTAGAAGGACATTGTGATTTGTAGAAGGAATGACAATTCATAGGATATCATGTGTGTAAGAACAGCTGATTGGGTACCATTTGTATAACTGGCCATCATGTGTATGAGAACACTCGATGGGTATGCAAAACAAAAGATAGTTTCAAACAAGGCTGTGGAAACAATTGAGGGGTTCCGTAGGAAGGTTTATGGGAACTGTGTAAGCTCCTCAATACCTCCTCCTTTATCCTCTGTGACCCTCAGTCTATAAAAGCCTGAGGTGACTAATAAACTTGGGCTATCTCACCAAGACGGTAGTCCACGCGTGTAGTCCACCCGTGTTGTTTTCCAAGTCCATCACTGCAGGACAGCCAACAGTTACTGTGTGACTCTGAGCAAGCTTCCTATTTTCCCCATCCCAAAGGCAGAAGAAAAGAAATGACTGATTGGGTTTGTAGAGGTCTGGGGAAGATGCTTACCACAGGAATGTCTTCCTCAGAACATTCATGAATTAAGAAATGATAAAATGTCCTGCCCCTGGAACTGAAAACCTAAGTGTATGTGTGCCTTGCAGGAGCTGGGGTGAGGTTACTACTTTCTCATTTCATACCAGTATGTCATCTTGGACCAAAAGATTTATGAGTAACCTCTGTGGATTCCATCCTGCTGGTTTGTGGAAGCAGAGCTCATTTCTACATCTCATGCACGTGCGCTATCTTCTCCTCAGGCCCCTGTGCGGCCGAGCATCACGTCCCTTTTCATGAGCTGGTCAGGGGAGGCATCTTCTGAGTTCTCCCCAGTTTACAATGGCAATGAAATAGAGACAAACTGTGTGGGAGCTTGGATGCTTTGTTTTCTGAGCCTTGTAAAATGTACCTGCACTTAGTGAAAATTGGACCTCACTATAGCTTTCCAAGGCTAGGTAGGCTGTCAGCCTCTTCACAATTCCAGGTGGAGGCTTTCAAGTTGTGTGAGCTCTCAGGCTAGAATGTATGAGATGGGCTTGGACTGCCAGTTCCTGTTGATTTCAGCAACAGTGAAAGTATTTCCTTTGATCTAGGTAGCCAGCCGCATCCCAAGGTAAATCCTTAAACCCCTAAAAGTGAACCTGGTAAGTTCCTCATAGTTTCAGATTAATTGTAAAACAAGCAGTCGCCTCCTGTCACCTCCGGTCTTGCTTCGTGTTTAGCATTCATAAGGGGCAGAAAAGCCAATAGCTGACACGAGCTCATTGCCTCTCACACACTTTTCACACTGGCATCAGTCGTAATCAGCAACGAGCCACTCACTGTCGTGCCAGGTCCTGGGTTTGCATGCTTCTCCCGATGGATAGCTTATCTCCATTTCTTACCACACACCTGTGAAGTAAGTGTTGTTGCTTCAAGCCTGTTTTGCAGGTGTGGTACACAGGTTAGGGGGCCTGCCCACACTCACTCAGCCAGATTCAAAGCCAGCTGGGCTGGCTCACAGCCACAGAGGAGAATGACTGGGAAATATCTCTGGTAAGGCTAGGGTTCAACTGAACAGGCTGTTGCATGCAAATGGCCTGTTTCTCTGGAGCTTTTGAAAGCTCCTAGTTGACTCAAAAGTTTTCTCGAGAGTCTGAACTAATAAATCCTCCGAGAGAGCTTCTGAAACTCCGCTTCTCACTGTTGCCTTCGTACTTTTAAGCATGACAGTGTCCCATTCAGGACAAAGCAGAACAAAACGTAAGACCCAAGCCAAGCATGATGTCAAAGACAGCTGCCTCCAGTGCTTCTTGTGTGCAAGTCCCTGTGGCATCGACCTAAATGCTGACCTGAGGAAGCCTGAAGGCTTGCCGTGCTAGGGCACAGTGGGGAAGACCCTCTGCCTCCGACAGCTGGTCCTCCACTCACTGCTATTGACTTAGCTTCTGGCACATCCAGTCTGCTGGCCTCTTGCTTCATTCCTGCTTTGTATTTGGAACACCTCCTGCCTGGTGGAGGATGGGTGCTATTCCAGGATGTCATGGATGACTTGTGGATGGTGGTAGGGGACAGTCACTCTGATGCTCCTGGGAGCAGGTGACGTGGCTACCTCAGGTGTTGATCCATCCATTTAAGATGCTGACCCCTGCCATTGTCAAGGTGCCATGTCAGACCCTGGAGTGTGTGATAAACACGCAAAGTGCCAAGACGCTGCTGCTCGGTTTGGTCTCCCAGCTCAGGACTCCTTGCGGGTGGTGTCTGTCTTCACCTATTTTCTGAAAGAACAGAAGCTTTTAAGGAATGTTCTCAGGACAGTCAGAAATGTAGACCAACGAAGGCCATGGCCAAACAGCCTTCAGAAAGTTCTCTGTGACATTTAACCCTTCAGGGAATCCACCAGAATTTTCCCCTCCGTTCCTGGCATAGAAACCCAGAAAGCTCTTTGTGAGCTGGGAAGGGAAGATTCCACCTCGCCCTTCCACCCCCACACGCGTGACCCTGTGCTGCTGGGGCT